GTAAGGTGTTGTGTATAACTGTATTTACCAGTACATACAGTACATAGGTAAGGTGTTGTGTATAACTGTATTTACCAGTACATACAGTACACAGGTAAGGTGTTTTGTATAACTGTATATACCAGTACATACAGTACACAGGTAAGGTGTTGTACCTCACCTGTCCAGCAGGTGAACTGATCCTGAGACTTTAAGAAGATTAAATGTGTCACTGCAGACGATCGATCATCAGTTGAATATAAACTGATCGATGACGTCAGGTCAAAGGTCAGCCCTGTTACCGAAGGTTCAGTGACGTCTTCAGCTCATCTTACAAGCCGCTGTTAGCTCTTGTTAGCATCGTTAGCTCAGTACCAGCCAGCTTCTTCATAACGGGCTGTTAGCTTCTAGCTGATAGCTGCAGGCCAACTCGGCTCTTACCCTGAGCGTGACGTCACAGAGTTTCCCCTGACGTCGGATCTCCTCCATGACGACATAACCTCGAGCCGGCGCGTCGCGCACCGAGAAATGAACCAAGTCCTCGAGCTCTTCGTCCCCCATCGTTAGCACGAGCAGCGCGAACTGAGCCCAGCGAGCTACCGTCCACAGCCTAAGCCGTGACGTCACGCTCACCGGCGGAAACATGGGCAGTCTCTGGCTTCACAATAAAAGACCGCCCCTCCCTAGAAGAAACAGCGCCTCCTCATGGATCATATTTTATCAACGTGGAGACAGATGAACATCAGAAACACACCAGTAACCTACAGGAGGTCATTTTGTAGAGCAGTGCTCCTCCTGTTCCTCCTCACACAAAGGAGCAGATACCTGCTGCTGGGTTGATGCTCTTCTACTGTCCAGCTCTCCTGGTGTCTCCTGGGTTTAACGTCTCCTGCTGTAACATCTCCTGCTGTAACGTCTCCTGGTGTAACATCTCCTGGTGTAACGTCTCCTGGTGTAACGTCTCCTGCTGTAACGTCTCCTGGTGTAACGTCTCCTGCTGTAACGTCTCCTGGTGTAACGTCTCCTGCTGTAACGTCTCCTGGTGTAACGTCTCCTGCTGTAACATCTCCTGGTGTAATGTCTCCTGCTGTAACGTCTCCTGCTGTAACATCTCCTGGTGTAACGTCTCCTGGTGTAATGTCTCCTGCTGTAACATCTCCTGCTGTAACGTCTCCTGCTGTAATGTCTCCTGCTGTAACGTCTCCTGGTGTAACGTCTCCTGGTGTCTCCTCCACACTCTGGAGACTGTGCTGGAGACACAAACCTTCTTGTGACCACAGGTATGGATGAGTCCTCCTTATGGTTTAAATTATGAACAAGGACTCAACAAAACAGAAGAAATGACTTGTATAAACTGTGATTCATGTTTCATAATTTTAAAGTAAACTGGTAATTTTATCTATATTATTGGCCATCACATTCTCACCGATATGTTGATCAATTAAGTGATGTATTAATTATACTGTAGGAAATTATTAATCAAATATAAACAGACAATAAAATGTTTCAGAAACTGAAGCAGTTTGAAGCTTTCACATTCAGAACATTTGTTTTAATCTTAAATGAGGTTTTGATTGAGAGGATTCTTTAAACCCTAATTATTAGAATATACAATTAATATTTATATAAAAATGTATATCAACCAATCAAACATCAGCATTTCATTAATAAAACAGCAGAAAAACATCTTGACGTAAAAAAGAAAAAGTTTTATTCACATATTTGAATGTTTGACTCGTTGGACACGTGAACAAACATCATGTTGTTTAATTTCTCAGCCCGACTTCAACAGGAAACAAACACATGTCGACAGAGTGAAGTCGGTCTGAGTTTGATTTGTGATGATGTGTTCAAACATCCACGTTTCTGAAAAAAATCACAACATCTGGACCACAGCTGGTTTTATGTTTCAGCTCCAATCTCTTTCAGAGCTGAATGCAGCATCCAGAGTCTTCAAGCTGTCTCAGATGGACTTCTGGGTGGGACCAGGACCAAGTGACAGCATTTGCTGCAGCTGCCTGAGCACCATCAACAGTTTTTACACAGTTATTTACCTGATTGATAGTTCGTTCTCCAGGTCAATGAGGATGTCTTCAAACGTCTTTGTTTTCCTTTGTCCGACCAGGAGTCAAACACCTGATTCAGTTACTGGGACTGAAGAATGATCCTTGAATCATTGATGGTCTGGTCTGTGTGGTGATGGATGAGACATTAGTCATTTACAACATGTCAACATTAAGAACTATAATGTGACAGAGGAACCCAATTTAAGTCCAGATCTAAAAATCAGTTAGTTGATCATCAGCAGGACATTATTTGTGATTTGAAGTTGAAACATGAAACCAGCGGAATGATCCTTTAAGTTCAAGCTTTTCTGGAGACAAACACCAATACAAACTTAGACAGGTAAGAGAGGAATCTACAGTGCACTGAGTGTGTACATGTTTACATGTGTTCTATGCCGACAGGTCACTGTTCTCGAATCGTTCCTGGTCATATACCTCTGCCACTACCTTACGTCCTCCGAACCAGCGGTGGTTCAGTGCCTGGATGGCTCGATTCATCTCGGCTGCGTCCAAAAACTCTACAAAGATCTTAACAATAACCTCGGCATCGTCCTCCTCGCCCTGACGCTCCTGGTAGATTATGACACGCTTCACCTGGCCAAACTTCCCACACTCCTCAGTGACCTCACCCTCCAGGTCATCGTCAATGTCGTCAGGCCCGACCATGTTCCTCAGGACCATCACAGTCGACTGGCGGAGAAGAGTCGCTTTTAGAATCTACATTTTGTTGTTTGTTTAAATAATTCGTTTTCCAAAAAGTTACAAATAAAAGTTTGACTTTCATTTTTCACATCAGAAAAAATCAACACGTCTCAGAGTCTAGATCAACACGTCTAGTTTCAGTTTAGATTAGAACCAGTACCTCCTGCTTGCGGAGCAGTTTCCTCATCACCATGTGTCTTGCGCTGCTGCCACGGATGCTCATGTGCTCCTGCTCGCGGAGTGGCTTTGTGACTCCATCCTGTTGCACCTCCTGCTGACGCTCCTCCTCCTCTTTCCTCTCCTCAACAGGTGTCATGGGTGTGGCCAACACAGGGTTCACCAGACCCACCTGTGGCAGGACAGGTCGAGCTGGGGTCACCCCTGAAACAGACACGAAGCAGGAGGGACAGGATGGTCAAAAGGGTGGTGGTGGTTTGGCCACAGGTGTCGCCCCATTCTAATGGAGGAGAAACTCGTACTGGTTGGCAGCTTCTCCACCGGACTGGGACTGACCTCCGGCCTCTTCCACCAACCAGAATATACTCTGGGTGTACTGGTTTACCATGACTGTACCACCCAACTCAAGAGATGAGTGGAATTAATACTGAAGTGCAAACTGATTTTAAGCTTTCATTTGCTATCAGCAGTAAACGCAGGTGTCAACTCCACCCATCTGCGCTATGTCACCACCCAACAAGCAGCTGTAAACAAGAGCACCCACAGACTTCAGTGTTAACCTGACTGAGTGACTCCAGTTCAATCTTCAGTGGCTGATTCTCTTCTAGTCACCATGTTGAGTTTGGAAACTAATACTTACTGTTGGTGCAGTCATAATTTCAGGAGCAGTGAGGACGAACAAACCCACTGACTAAAATCAAATATATACCCCCCCATCCCCCCAAATTGCTCATTAATGTGCGTTGTACAACATGACTGAAACTCCACAAATCACACAGGATCTGAGACTCACTGGCCAATAGGAATGAGGGGCTATGTTTAAAGGGAGGGGCTAGAAACAGTCCTCTTCACTTGGTTGGTCAGTGTGCAGCAAAGGGGAGGGGTTAAGAGGTCACTGTCGGTGCAATTGTTGGGGGTCGAGGAAGGGGGAGGGGGGAGAAGAGAAAAAACAGAGAGAGAGAAAAAAAGACAATAAAAGAGAAAATCTATTAGTTGAGACGCTTCTGAAGAAGCAACACAAACAACAACTGGAACATCTGGAGTCTGTTCATTAAACCAGAATGACCGACAGAGGCGACTCCTTCACAATAAAGACTTCACTTTTATCTTCTTTAACTCACCAGGATCAAGTTTCACAGAATCAAACAGTCACTGACTGGTTTTTACAAATAATAATTGTGTTCACAAGATTAATTTTTCTTCTCCTTACAAAAATCATTGTTGTACAAGTTGCTTATTATTATTTTAACTGCTGTTATTTTTTCACAAATGTTTGTATCTTTGTACAATTTATCTTAACAAATCTCTCATGTTGTATCTACTTTGTTCATGCAGGTCATTTTCATCTTAAATAAATCAAACAGCAACAAATATTTTTGGTAGTTTTGTACAAGTTATTATTAAATGAAGAATCTAATCTTTACACTGAATACAAGAAAAAGAACAAAAACCACAATGAAAGTAAAAGAAGATATATTTCTGACCAAAACCAGAGAAAAACCAACAATGTATTAGCATATTATATTTATATATTTATATAGAGTCTCAGCCACTAAAAATACACATGGAAAATACAACAAGTGATTTGAAAATTCTATGCAAACTATTTAAAGTCGTGTTCTGGTGACGACAGAGCAGCCAATGAACTGCATCATCGGAGGGCGGGTAAAACGCTATGGGAGGGACTTACAGGATATAACTCGACATGTGATGCAGGGATAAATACACTGCTCAGTAAAGTGAGGGAACCTTAATGTTCAGTGTAAAGATCAATGTGTCCATTTTGAAGAACAAGTGATTGTGAATCAGTTTCTCTGCTTTGGTGCAAATCAAAGTCACAACAGGTTCAATGAGACAAAAGTAAACAAGCCCCAACAGGGAATGTTTTTAATGTGGTGTCCACAGACAGCTGCTCTCTCCTGGTCCTTCCTGACTCATTCTAGTTCTGTGTTCTGCTCGGGTCCTCCTCACTACTGGTAACATGAGGCGCTACCTGCAGCACCATCAGGGTGCACAGGTAGTCCAGCTCCTCCAGGAGGACTCATCCATACCTGTGGTCACAAGAAGGTTTGTGTCTCCAGCACAGTCTCCAGAGTGTGGAGGAGACACCAGGAGACGTTACACAGGAGACACCAGGAGAGCTGGACAGTAGAAGAGCATCAACCCAGCAGCAGGTATCTGCTCCTTTGTGTGAGGAGGAACAGGAGGAGCACTGCTCTACAAAATGACCTCCTGTAGGTTACTGGTGTGTTTCTGACCAAACTGTCAGAAACAGACCCCAGGAGGAGACATGGCATCCTCTAGTGGGACCTGAGTCACAGTCCAGCACTGAGCAGCTCCATTCACCTGAGAACACCAGGACCAGCAGGTTCACCACTGGAGCCTTGTTCTCCTCACAGATGAGCAGGTTCACACTGAACACATGTGACAGACATCCACAGACTGTCCAGGAGCTGTGATGATCCAGGTCTGGTAGGAGATCCCCAGGACAACATACAGGCACAAGAAGGCCACACGATTCACACACGTTGCATAAGCCTGTGGTTTCAGTTTGTTACTGGGATGTTCAGGTTTGAATCCAGCTTCACTTGGTTGACGGTTTTAGTTTCCATTGATCGTTGTTATGTCATTTTTTTCTCAACTAATTCTACAATGTTCATCAGTAAAGATTTTCCTCTTGAATAATTCATCAAGATCTGATGTGTGATTTAAGTCTTCCCTTAGTTTGTTGAGCAGTGTATTATCAGATACCAGAGACTGTGATTGGGCAGCAGGACATCTTGGTAACAGGGTGTGTGTGTGTGTGTGTGTGTGTGTGTGTGTGTGTGTGTGTG